TTGTCCTCTCTCCTCCCATAATGCCCTGGAATGCTACTAGCTAGGGGAAATGATGGTGGTTGTAAAATAGGGACCAGGCTGCCATGGCAGGGGCAGCCATGGTCCTTCCCACCCCCCACCCCCCCAAAAAAACCCCAACCCTTAGGAAAGACCCTATTTGTGAGAAACTGGTGGGGAATTTTTCCTCCCACTGGACAAATGCGATGTGACTGTTCCTCCAATTTCTCCACCTAGAGATCCATGCCTAAAGGTCTGCATTGTGTTCAGAATGTGTCCTGTGTTTCTGGTGGTGCTGGATGTTTCCGCACAGCTTTGGGTTACATGCCCTCTTCTTTCTTTAGGAAAAAGAGAGGATTTGGTGGCCTGTACAGAATCCAATCTTAGCCAGCTCATAAAAAAACCACATCAGTTTCATCTCTGAACATGCGTTGGTCAGAAGGGCCATGTTCTTTGTAAAAACTATAAAGAATGGGAGTTTATGGAGATCGGATTAGTGGTTAAAGTATATGGGTCATTTTTTAAATATCATTTTAAGCCTTATCTACTTCGCCTTCCCATTGTGCCAGGCTATTAATTTACCTGATTTATCGCTGCTGCTCATAAAGCCTCGCTCTGCAGAGAGATGAAGATTGCTGACTACAAGTTTCTCCAAGAAATATTTCAATTTTGGCATGATTAAGTGTGCTTCTTCTGTCAGAAGGTTAACCAAAGTCCTTGCCCTTCTTCAAGGGCATGACTTCCAAATGTTCCCCCGGCTGCAGATCCCTAAGCCCCCAGGTCCAGTCTCTAAAGAATTCTTTCAGACAAGCTATAAAGGAAATGCTTGAAAGAGTCTATCAAGAGCAGAAAATATACAGTTATGGAGCTGTAACAGAATGGACGTAGATGTGGTAACCATTCACTTTAAGCTCTGGTCCCACTCATTCTTATCTACTTCTGAAGCCATTAGTAACAACTGCCATTCTTAACAACTACCACCCTTTGGACCTGCAATGAAACCTCGCAGCATGCACTGTCCTTGTTCAGGAGTCCAACCAAGTAGCAGTTTTGATTGAATTTTTTGTTATTCCCACCAAACACTTAGCAGTATCAGGTCTGGCCTATATTATTGGTCTTAGTAAATCCACAGTGCATAAGGTCCGACCTGACTCACTCAGCATGGGTGTATGTGTACAGGGGGGTTTCCACCTGGTACTTAGCATGACGGTTGGAGTTGAACCACAACACCAAGTTGATTGGGCTAATTAGCAGCTGTGGATGGTTAAGGTAACATTTATCCTGCTCTCTGTTTTGCTTGCAGTCATCAGAACAGCAATATTTATATTGGAAATTAATGATAAAATGCATCGAGAAAGGAGCAGTGCCAGCAATAGATGGACTTCCCCATTTAAAGTTCATGTGAATCAAGGGTGCGGCAGGTTGTGGGGGAATAGAATTGCACCTTAAATAAGATGCATGTCAGAGGACAGCTTGGCCTGTGAGAGGTAACCAGCTGAGCACCAGATCAATTGCTCAGATCTCTGTGACTATTATTTCAAATGATAAAAGATTCCTTTCTGAGCTTTATTGATCCGAGTTCATGAGGAGTTCTTGTAAATCATCATCAACAAATCTATATATCTGCCTTGAATCGAAAGAGGCAGGTGGAGGAAGGCAGGCAAGAAACATCAGTGGCCAGAAATATTATACCACTGAGATTTGATGGATCCCGCTGCTAAACCAGCAACATGGTTTGTGTGACAAGAGGAATGTTCGCCATCCTAAATTCACTAGCTAGTGCACACATGCTCCCTCCCTTCCAAGCCAGGTGTCCTTTCCTCCCATCTGCCAAAGTTCTACCTCCAGTAAATAACCATTTGTCTCTTGAATTTGTAGTGGCGTTGGACCATTTCATTAATGTTGCGGTTTAGTGCTTTTACATTTCCAAGTATTGCATAACCATCCATTTTGGGGTGTTTCGGGGGCATAAATATGTCTTACCTAAATAAAACCATTTTAGGGCACAAACCATGGAAGCAGCATTGAAATAGGCAGAACAGCCCTTCCATGTGATCCATGGTAGTCCTTCATTTGGAAATGAGGGCCCAGGCACAGATGCAACTTTATGGCCTCCTGACACTGCCTGGGGGCCGCAGGCTTATTCAGAGCCCCCATGCTGAGGCCAAGTCCCCCAGATGGAATATAGGCCCGAGCTGTGCAGTGTTGAAGATCTCCGCAGCTTAGCCTTGCTCCAGGAAAGGACTGCATGCAAGCTGCTGGGCTCCAAGGCAGCCATGCATCAAAGGCAACAGGCACTGGACGATGAAATGAAGCACTGTTTTGCCTGTATTGACCTCCACTTTGAGTTGCTACTACAGGCAGCCAGGGCTGGCAAAGCACTTTGCTGCCTCTCTGTGCTTTTACCAGGGAGTCTTGCCTTGTGTTAGTAGGGCTCTTCATCTATTGCAGCTCCTTTTCCAGCTCGATGGGAGTTGTCCAGGGTGCTGAACTCGATCTTCAGAACCGGAGAGTTCCTATCAAGGTGAAAAGGAAAGGGGTCCCCTCCTGGCACAGAGAGGAGGAGATCAGGCATCAGCTGCATCACCAATCGCCTCTTCCATTTCTTCTGGAATGACCAGATTCCAAGCTAGGGGTGTGTGGACCAGATCAGACCCAGCTTCATTGCGTTGTGAGCCATCCCGAGGCTGTGTAGCAATGGGGACGGCATATAAAAACTTTAACTAAATAAATAAATTGCTTGAGCCAAGCATCATGACCAAGTGCTTGAACAAGTCAGCGAACCCTGAGTATGCCAAGGTTCTCCAAGTTCTACCTCCAAGCCCAGTTCAATAAGGGTCTCTATCATATGTTGCTTTCTTCTCATCCATCTTTGGCCAAACACAGTCATCAGTGGTGCAAATTGTTCCAGTGCAGGCATTCTCCTCCCACTGATTAAGAGCACATTTGTGCACATATTTCCAAAAGTGCACAGTGTATCTTGCCCATTTTTCAAAGGTGAATCCTGATAAAAATGCACTGAGAGGAATTTCCAATAGAGTTCAAATACATTGAATGCGAACAGCAAAAGTACTCTCTGAGACATCTCCTGCCTTGAAAAGAAGCCAGGTCGGAGGAGCCCAAGTGCCATTGCTGTGAGATTGTACTGCTTCTCCACACTCATTTCTGTGCCTCTGTAATTCACAACCAGGTTTTGCATATGTAAGCTGATTATTACGAAGATGCCATGTCTCTGGCACTCCTTCCTCAAACAGCAATACGGGGAAGTTTGAAATAATAGGTTTGGGGGCTTCAGACTGGGCCTCAGCTCCACTGAACCCTAGTAATCTAGTGAAAATTCAGTCAGCTCCTGTGTGACGTGCAAAGAAATTTGGAATGAGATCAATGCACTGATACCCACAGCTAATAAAATTAACTGATTTCTCCCTTCTGCATGTTCATCTCTTTGTCTGGATGTAGGTCTGCCCAGATTTATGGCCACTGTTCTCTCAGAATGCTTTTCATTAAGCAAATGCAAATTTGGATGGCTAGTAATTTACAGCACAACTGGTAGAGGATGGTAAAAGGAAATGAACATCATTTTGCAAGCAAATGCTAAAAAAGAAAAGAGTGCAACAATTTTGTTTGGCCAGTTGAGAAATCATCTGTCGCCAAAGATGCAAAGGTTGTGCGAGGGGAGAAGGGTGGCAGCTGGTCACGGCACGTCACTTGCTTGGAAATTAGATGTATGTTCAGGCAGGGTGACCATCTGTGGTGTGATCAAATGTTGCCGGCATCTTGATGGGTCTGGGTGGGTGCTGGGAATGAGATGGGCAGTTCTTCTTGGCACGCACTCCTGGGTCATGCCAATCTAGACTCTGAGTCAGAGAAAGGAGAGGAAGCAGATGGAGCCCGGGAAAGTGGGACTTTAGACTTTTGAGATGGGAGAAGAGGAGGAGCTTATCTCAAGGCCATGCTCTCCAGGTGCTGAGACAAGCTCTGGGGATAGCCAGGATGTGGAACTGTCCGGAGGAGGCCTGGGAGAGGACTGCGCAAAGCCAGACAAAGCTGGTATGACTCTTGACCCCGTGGCATGGCACTGGGAGAGGAGGACTAACCAACTGGGGGGGTTGGCATGCAGAGAAAAGGCATGCTTGCTTCCAGAAGGCCCCTCCCAGAGGGATGGGGCTCAGACATAATCAGAAGGGCAGTTCCAAGAAGTGGTTGCTAGATTGGGTTTGACAAACTGCTCGGTGCATGCTCAGAGATTCATTTTGTGGTGGTTGAGTTTAGTGGGTATACTTCAGTGAATAGAGAGCATTTGCGAAAGAACAGTTTGTTGTCTTGAAGGTGTGAAGGGAGGAAAGCCCAGCTCACAACAGCAGGTATTAACGAGCATGGCCTATAGAAAACCATTTAATCCTACCCCACCTACCTGCCAAAGAACATACTTGCCAGTGATGAAGAGATTGCTTTCAGTGCTTGCCAAAGACAATCCAGATCAAGCTGAAGTGCTTGTCAGCCTACACCATCAGCAAAATGGGTACCCAAGTGGACCATGCCACTGTATGGATTGAGGGGGATAGGTCAAATAAATAAATTTTAAGGTGGGGAAAATTGCAGGCCCAGGGTGGGATTTTGCCCCACTGGGGCTTTCCAAATAGCATCTGTCATGACCTTTCTCTTTCCCCCACACACTTTCTGCCACACACTGACCATCTGGTGATTTTCCATCATTTTTACAGGTCTGCCCACCCCTAAAAGGTTGAGATGTCTTTCCTGAGGCTTTGCTACTGGCAGGAAGAGCTTTCAGCTAAAATATGCTAGCAATGTTGGAGGTTCTGACCCTAGCCTTTGGCTTTGCCCTCCTCCGGGGTGTCAAGCAGTTACCTGCACCTAAAATCGGATTCTTTTACATGGAGCTGTCGGCAATTGAAATGCCTGCATTCAAAGGCCGTGATCTCCCCCAGTGCTGGGTCCCTCATCCAGGATGACTTCACTCTCCCTTGGTCCATTCTTCCCAGGTCTGGCAGTGCGGAGGAAGCATGGAAGTGCTGCCTTGCTCCCGAGTGGCCCATATCGAGCGCACGAAGAAGCCCTACAACAATGACATCGATTACTATGCAAAGCGCAATGCCTTGCGTGCCGCCGAAGTCTGGATGGACGACTTCAAGTCGCACGTCTACATGGCATGGAACATACCAATGACGGTAAGGGGAGCTGCAGGGAATGTGTCCCAAGCAGAGATGCTTAAATGGTTTGCTCCTTCCAGATTCCAGTATGAACAGACCTGAAACCTCTTGCTGCGGTTTTTGTATGGTGCTGCTCTTGGCTCAACAAACAATGTGAAATGCAGATTTTAGGATGAGATATACAGGCAGAGCAATCCTATGGCCATTGGAGAGCCTCTACAAAAGCTATAGGAATTTCAGGATTCCATGCTATAGAAAATCGCCCTGACCTTGAAGCTGCAACTCCATACTCAGGTCCTGGCTCCCTTGCAGAAAAAAATAACTGCAGATAAGAGGTTTGTAAGGTGTTCCAGGGTGCCAAGTTGAGAGTGGGGTAGAACCTCTCTGGGTACCATGCTTGGATGGACAATTTCTGCTGCATAGAACTTCCCACCCCTCCAGAACTTCCCCATCCACTCCAGTTGAAAGGACAGCTCGGTGCACACCACCAAAGCCATCCTCTCCACTGAAGTGAATGGGGAAGATTGTTTACACACCAGACCTCTATGGATTTATTGGCCTTCACCCAGGCCAGCATAGGATGGAGGGGGAGAGTTGCAGGGAGATGGGCTAGAGTGTGAGGCTTCAAACTCAAGATGAATCTAATTGTACTGATTTTGCATTTTTCATGCACTTGCATCATTTTCTCTGCACATTCCATTTCCACAACCATCAAAAGGAAATCTGCCATATCCAACTAGCCTGAATTTTCATATGTCAATATTTTTCCCAGGCTTTAGCTCTTCCGTTTCCACCCCCTGCCCCACCACAATCCTTTCTGTTGCTAAGAGTTCATTAATATTTATTTCTTGTTTCGGAGGAGCACTATAGTCAGAGTAGTTACTTATGCACCAAGAGACATGAAGGGGGGAGATGGGTGGGAGGGGGGAGAATCAGCTTGTAAACAAAATGAGCACTGGATAACTATTCAAGTAATGAAATCGACTGCAAATCTGGCCTAATAGAATTTCTGTCGTTATCTGTTTCTGCTTTTGCAGAATCCTGGAGTTGACTTCGGCGACGTTTCTGAAAGGGTAGCTTTGCGGCAACGTCTTCACTGCCGGAATTTTAAGTGGTACTTGGAGAACGTCTATCCTGAAATGAGGATTTACAATAATACCATCACTTATGGAGAGGTAATATGTGGCACTGGGGATCCAAGAAGTAGCAGAAGCGACAGAATCTAGAGAGCTCTGAAGGGCCATAGTTCCCCCAGGTTCCATCAGCCCCAGCCAGCATGGCTGCCAGGAGTTGTAGTCCAACAACATGGCAGACAAAAGAAGATTTCTTCATGCGGTACATGGTTAAACTGTGAAATTCACTACCATTCACTAGCATAAGAAGTAGTGAGGAGCATCAGATAGGGTGGCTTGAATAGGGGATTGGTTTGCCACGTTGGCAAATACTGGACTAGATGGACCCCTGAACTGATCCAGGAGGCCGGTTCTTATCGTCTATGTTCTTGTTCACATTTGAATGTGAACTTACCTAATTTTTTGCTTTCAAGCCAGTGTGAGAACCAAAACTTAGTGATCCTTTAAGATTTTCACTACTCCAAGTTTTGAAATGGAGTTCACCAATGAAGACAGGTCTGCAGAAATACATTCTATCAGGAGGTATTAGATCTAAAAATTGCGTATCTGTACCATGCCCAATATGGGCATTGTGCAAAAATGAACCCCAAACTGCATGTATCGGAAGGACTGTGCACAGAAAATCAAGCTTTTGTCTTTAAAGCAACATTTGCAACAGTTGGGATAAACCAAACTAAGGACGGGAGGCATTTTCACAAGAGAAAGAATTTAACAAACAGGAAACCAGAGTAAATGGAAAAGCTTTTAGCCTGGCACTGAAAAGAATACGAAGCTGGTGCCAAGTGAACCTCTCTGGGGAGTGCATTCCAGATCTGGGGTGCCACCCCTGAGAAGGCCCTTCTCCGGATAGCCACCCTCTTCATCTCCTTCAAGGAGTGCACCCGGAGAAGGACCTCCACACCAGATCTTAATGGGTGGGAAGGCACATGGGAAAGGAGACACTCCTTCAGATATCCAGGTCCAAAGTCCTTTAGGGCTTTATAGGTCATCACCAGCACCTTAAACTGGACTCGAATTTCAGTTGGTAGCCAGCGTACATGGTACAGGACCAGCATTATATGTGAACACCTGCCGGTCCCCGTTAACATCCTGGCAGCTCTACTTTGAACCAGTTGAAGTATCTGGACCATCTTGAAGGGCAGCTCCATGTTCAGTGCAATGCCCAGAAAAGGATCCCACAGTTATAGCCCCGTGTGGAAAGAGCATTCCACATTTGGGACACCTGATCAGGCCTTTCAGACTGAGGGTCCAATCCTGTCCTTATGTAGACAAACATCCTTGCTGGCAGGGTCATGCTGGGAGTTGAAGGACCTTTTCTGCCTAAACATGGATTGGGTTACCACCAAAACAAACTGAATGTGTAAACTGGAGAGCAGTGGAAACAGCTCCTGTCAAAGGAAGAAGGCAGGTGTCTGAGCCTGCACACATGGGACAGAAAGCCCTGCCATTGCTGAGCCAAGTTGAACTTAAAGCTTGGAGTGAGGGGGTGGCTTTTGCCATTTTCCTTCACCCTGCAGTTATTCAAATCTCTCCTGCGAGCCAATGAGCAAAGGAACTGGGGACTTCCTTAGGACAACAACTTCATGGAAACACCCACAGCTTGCCGGGAAAGCACACGCCTCCCGGCAGCTCTGTGCTCACCGGAGAGAAAGCAGGGACACTTAGCGAAGGACCCCAAGCTGTGTCAGGGAAGTGGAACATCTTGTAGCGGTTCGGCTGACAGATTGTCTCTTTCCATGGAGCCGTCAACAGCAGAGTCCTTGCATCCAGGTAGCATCTTGCTTCTTCCACCCACGGAGGAAAAGAAGGGTTATGCCAGCCATGCGCTGTAATGCCCATTTATGTTGTCTCTTATTCTGGAATGATGCTGCATCCAAACCCAAGATGTTCTTAGAGGGATGCAGCTGCAGCTGGTGAGAAGAATGGTAGGGAAGAGGGTGGCCAAGGGGTATGTCCTCTCTCTGAATATTCACCTGCAACCCCAAGCAAAGAGGGGTGCAGTTCAATTACTGCTCTCTAAGCATGCCCAGAGTCCACTTCTCTTACTTGCAGAGGAGTAAGCAAAAGTTGGGTAGAAAAAGAAACGTTTTTAAAGAAAATCTGCAATCGATCATTGAGTCAACATGTAGCTAGGCCAGGATTCTGTCCCAAACTAACTACTGCACTGGTGATTTGGAAGAAAATAGGAAAGAACTGCTGATCCCTCATCCACCTTCCTCATTGTTTTTGGTTCGCAATGAAAAAGGAGGTGCGTTTGTCTCCGAGCTCCAGCTGCTTCAACAATGTTAGGGTAGCGAGAGCATTGTAAAAAAAAATGAATTGTATTTTCTATCCTCCAAAGTCACTTTTTAGACGGACAACTCATAAAATTGCCCTGATCTCCTTATATCTGAATCATGCGCTTGTCATAAACAGGCTTAGCTGCCATTTAGCTGTTGTCATTCTTTAATTGACAGAAGGTGGGGATGAGTGGCCTTGGAACGTGGTGGAAGATTGGCAGACAGTTTATTTATATCCCTGTTCAGGGCAAAGAGTGATGGAGAGAGTGGCCGCGATGCAGCCGCTGATGGACAATTGACCTTGCACGGCACCAAGAGTAGCCCTCTCCACAATTACTTCCAGCTACAGCTTAATATACAAAGATTTCAAAACCAGAAGAAGAGCATGAGAAAAGCCAAGCTGGATCAGACCCAGGTTCATCTAATCCAGCATTCTTTTCACATAGTGTCCCACCAGCAACCCATAAGAGACCCACAAGAAGGACACAAGAGCAAAAGGCTAAAACCTGCCTCTGCCAAATCCTGGTGCAGCACCCCAACCACTAGACCACCCCGATTCTCAGTGTTCCTCTTGATGCTCTTCCAGAGGACAGACCAGGGTCATGTTATGCTCCCTCCTAACTGAGAGGAGTCTTGGAGAAATGTCACTCTCTACCCTCTCTGGCCTTGATTTCAGGTTCGTAACAGCAAAGCCAGTGGCTACTGCTTGGACCAAGGAGCAGAAGAAGATGACAAAGCAATTCTCTACCCCTGTCACGGGATGTCCTCCCAGGTAGGCACCGTTGCATGTTGTTATCCCTTAAGTGAGTATCAGGCCCAGAGAGTGGCATGCAGTCAGAAAGCATCTTTGCATGGCTTGCTCTGTTCTGGATCTAAGAGAAATGAATTCTGTTCTCATTTTCATGCAGGCTTACCTAATTTCACACTTCCAACCGTGAAACTCAGGCTATCTTTAGAAATGTGTACTTCTCTGAATTTTGTGAGGGAATGCTCCACATAAAAGTTTTGTGTTCAAATATGCATTGTACTAGGAAAACTGCTTGCAAAAAAGTGTTCACTTGGCAAAGATAACCACAAAACACAGAAATTCAGAGACTTCCATAAACCTCCATTATGAATTTCCATGCAAATTTTTAAAAATCTTCAACACTTGGGACAAAACAAAATTAAGATTCAAGAAATTCTAAAAATTCAAGATGAAATGTAAGTAAGATTGGAAGCATCAAGAAACCAACTCTAGTGCTTTTCCGAGAATGTTAATTCTGGTGGAAAATGTTCGGTGTGCTGGCATTTCCTAGGATGGCCAAACCTTTCCGTTTCATTTGTCTCCCCATATTTTTTTTTTTACAAACCCGCATATTCATTCTATCCTCTTCATGAAGAAGTGTGCCTATTCCAGTCAGTTCCTTTCCAAAAACCAAATGCGGTAAAGATGCAGTACAAAAGTCTCATCTAAACACTTCCACCAGGAGGTGGCATTCTCAGATCTACCAGTGAAGCTTCCATCTTTTAGGGAAGCTAGGTTAGTTTGTGTTGACTGGTGTCCAATAGGACTGTCTGGTGCACACATCCAGCCGAAAGAGCAGGACTGCAAATGTAGCCGAACCAGTTTGCCATATGCTGGAGCAATAAGATAATATGCGTCTACACCAAAAGTGTACAACTTGTGGCCCTCTAGACTCTAGTGCCTTGGCTTCCAACTCCATGGCTCCCTCATTATGGGGTTGTACAGACTAAGGCTGATGGGAGCTTTAGGAAGGAACATCTGGAACACCACAAGTTGCTCACCCCAAATCCAACCAGGAGGGGTCTCAAGTCCAGAGCTTAAATTTGTCTTACTGCACCAATGGCTGGACCCAAAGGAGGACATTCAAACATATTTGAGGAAGGCCTCTGAGCACAAAGAGAGACGTGGGTTACAGGCTGCAAAGATGAGGAAGTGTGTAGAGCACCTATTTCCTGAATGTTGCAATGAGTTGTATTTGATTGAACCTCCTACTACAGCAGGGAATTCTGTCCCCGTGTGTTAGATCTACACCCAGCACTATATTAACTCTACTGCGCTGACACCCTATTGTTCTCTTTTATTTAAAAAAAAAGAAAAAAAGGGGGGAGCTCACTTGACATTAAAATGGATTTGTGTGTTTGTGGGTGGTATTTTTTAGGAAAAGCAATATAATGGCATGACACATTTGCTGTGCAAAGAAAATTCTAATAGGATACAGAGTTGTGTGATTTCCATGAGTAGTCAAAACATTTCAGCTATTCCTATGCCAACAATTTCCTTACCAAAAAAAGAGAATCAGTCCTGTACTTTTAGCTCACAATTAAATGCATTCATGTGTCCCACCCCCTTTTTATGTTCATAAAATGCTCAAACCTGGTTGAGAAAGGAGATACTCATGAAGCGCTGGGCTGGAGAAGAAGTACCTTTTCACAGCAAAAGATGCTATTGAAGGATTCCAACCAAGGAAATTTCAGTCAATGCTGAATTTGCACAGTAAGATGTGGTGGTGTTAAACCAGCTATAAAGTTTTCCTGGACCGAGGAGCGGGGTAGGGTTTCTTCTTAAAACAGCAAACAAACAACCAAGTTGATCCAGCAGGCCCAAAGTCTGCTAACTCTGCTCTTAAGTGTTCCAGGAATTGCTCACTACCTTCTCCTTCATTAAGTCATTATCTTTAAAAAGAGTCAAAAGAGTAACAGAAAAGCAGAATGAAACATACAATCTTCTACTCTACTGGAGAAAAATCAGATCACTTACACAGCAGCCCAGTAGTCCCTAGACACAATTTTTCAGAGTCCTGGCACTGAGGTCAGAAAACAGTTCCAGCCTCAGGGCTGAGGAGCTGCAGCAATAGCCGCTCAAACAGCTTGCACAGAATTCTACTTTAAATGGTCGAAAGTGCCAGTTGCTTGTTTTCCAGCAAGTTTCTCCACCCTAAATCTCCAGATGCTAAGACATCCTCCCTTTTCTCCACAAGAGGAAAACAGGAACTAGAAGGGAGTGTCCATGCATATCCTTTGCCCAGCTCTGGGAGAAAGATTAGATTGGATAGCACAAGAAAATTCACATTGGAGGAGGTAGTGTTAAAGCATGCATCAGGAAGGTTGCTTGCATGGGGATGTGCATATTATGCCAAAATGCAAACAAGCATGCGTGCTCGCACTGTGAGAAATGTGCAGCAAAATTGCTTATGAATTTCCATGCAAAAGAAAAATCTCAGCATTTGGAAGAAACTTCGTGGAAGCCTGGATACACTCTCAAAATGCAAAGCTGTGAGAAACCAAAAATGACATTAGTCCATCAGTATCTTCGCCATTCAGGGGCAGAATAACTCATCTTGAAGCTCATTATGTGCCCCCAAATCAGGTTCCTTGCCATTTCCACCTGTTGGTCTTTTGCTGCCCCATAGAGCGTTAAAAACCCTCCATCTTCTGCATGAGATCCAGTCAGTTGTCTCCCTTTCATCTTATCTTCTCCAAGTCGAACCTTCCTAGATCCTTCAACCATTCCACTCAGGGTTTGCTTTCCAGACTCCTCACCATCCTAGTCAAACCTACCCTGCCTGTAGCACTCCACCCCCAATAACCTCAGTAAGGCAAATCAGATTTTTCCTAATCCCCCACTGCCTACCCATGCATCTTAGCTCAGTGTGAAATCCACTTTTTCATCATGCCTGGATCTATGGAGATTTCACCCTGTACCTATATTTCTAGGCATCATTTCTCAGCATTTATTTCATTCCCAGCTCCAAAAACGTCCTTCTGCGTTTTGCCCTGACTATTCAATTATATATATACACATGCACCTGGAGGTTTCAGAAGAAAAATCTCTTCTGATCATTCTTCTATTGCTCTGCCTATTTTTTTAATGAAGCCAGTTATCATTTAAGTCCCGGATGGTTCCCACCCAACCCCCTGCACGAAGCCCCTCCCGCCATGCCATTTGAGTGCTTTCTGATGTGCCGCCCAAACGGAAATGGCATTAATGAACGGTCACTCGTGCATTCATGCACAAATCATTCTGACCTTGTCACCTGCCGAACAATTACCTGACGCTGAGCTGTACGTACGATGCGTTGGGATCAGGAGGACGACTTGAGCGTTAATACTGAAGGCGCGGCAAAAGGGGGCAAAATGTAACGTTCCATTTTTAATTGCCGAGGCTGAAGCGGTGGGAAGCTCTGTACTTACTGTCAGAATGGCCGTCTTCGGGGGGCTCCTGATGAAGGGGTCTGCTGCAAATTCAGCCTCTGATCAGTTGGGCTGGGGGAAGGAGCACAGAGACACTTACTCGGATTCAGATGAGGCTCTCGTGTAGAGTCCTGTTTAGTGAGACGCTGACATTGTTCACCAGCTATTCAATTACTTCTGCCTCTTTCCTTTCAACTGAAAGAGCAAGGCTGGGCTCTTCAGTCCCATGGCTTCTGCAAGAAGAGCAGTACCAGGGAAAGGGTCCCAGCTGTCCTGTTTTGCAGATAAACTCTTGGTGGTGGTGATAGCAGCCTTCTGACCTCCCTCCTGAAGTATATTCCATGTGTTTTGGTTCCCTTTTCTTCACCAGTGATGAAGCTGGAGGGCAGAAAGTCTTTGTCATTGGAAAGCTCTGTGCTATCATGCCAAGAGGGGTCAAGGAGTTGTGCCACTTTTTTCAGGGTTAAAGCCACCAGCTGCTCTGTAGAATTTTTAGACTTCAACTCCCATCATCCCTGACTATAGGATAGATCTCCTGACTCCAGCCCTAGCCACTAGATGGCCCACCCTTTGATCCTCTCCATCTCTTGTAATTAATTTCTATATTCAATAGAGAGTACCCTCCGTGCTATAGGGTTGGTGAAATCTATTAGTAGAGGCCTAGATGATTTGCAGTAGTTCTGCGAGGGTTTCACATTCTCAGTTCTTGAACAATGCTAACAACAAAAGAGCTTTCTCTCCCTTCTCTCCCTCCCTCCCTCCTTCCCACATACAATCATGCATGCACACAGAGAGAATGAGAGAGAGAGAGAGAGAGAGAGAGAGAGAGAGAGAGAGAGAGAGAGAGAGAGAGAGAGAGAACCCTTCCCACCACCAAGAGGGTGCCCAACCGTATTTACCTTGGAACTGACATGGTGGGTCAACCCTTTTGAAACTTGTTAACCTGGTTCCCATTGAGTCTTTCGACGACATCTTTGACCAGCCGTTCCTTATGTCTGAGAAGCTTTCAAAATGAACTCTGATGTTCTCTAGCCGGACAAGAAGAGTTATGCAAGGATCGATTGACTTCAATGGGCAAGTAGGCCTAATCCAAAAACACAAGGTTGTGTGCTTCTTTCAGCAAACAATGATGCTGATGATGAAGATGATGATATTTGTGTTGCCAAATGGCAGATAATTAAAAAGAAAAGGAATACGCTTGCTGACATCTTTTCTATATTGCATTTGCAGCCAACCCACCTCTCTGGACAGCCAATCCCACCATCCTCTGAGATGAGATTCTAAGCAAAAAATGTAATTTGTCCAAGTGGGGCTGCCCACACATTAGTTGCATCACTTGGACCTGCTTGACTGGGCTGGAGGCATCCTTTTCCCTTTCTTTCTTGTTAGACGCATGGTAGCAGTGTGTTGTTTATCAGGACTAGAGGCCTTTGATAGCCTTCTTCTCCATGAATTTGCTCAAATGCCCCTTAAAGCCAACCAAGTTGGTGGCCATGACGTCTTGAGGTAGCTGCTGACATCTTGGGCCCATGCAAAGGCAAAAAATGGAAGGACCCATACTTATACTGCTTTGAAGAGTTTCAAAAGGGTAGAATCACCACTGAAAAGAAAACTGAATACAGGCTTAAGCTTTCTCTTAGCACAGGCAGAGCTGCTTCAGACTGACAGAGGTTATATTTACAGTGTCTTGCTAGTCTCAGTTAAAGTCGACTTATTGCAAGGAATGGGGCTTAACGTGGACTAATATTTGATGTGTGTGTGTTATGTGCCATCAAGTTGTCTCTCACCCATGGCAACCCCATCAATGAAAGCCCTCTGAAGGACGGTTCCATTCAGCTCTTCCAAGTTCAAGGCTTCCTTTCTGGATTCAATCCATCTCATATTTGGTCTTCCCTTTTGTCTTCTGCCTTCAACTCTTCCTAGGATGATTGTCTTCTCCAGGGAGTCTTGCCTTCTCATGATGTGTCTGAAGTGTGACAGCCTCAGTTTTGTCATTTCTGCCTCTAGGGAATGGTTGACTTGATTTGATCTGGGACCCATTTGTTGATCTTTCTGTCAGTCCAGGGTATTTGTAAAGCTCTCCTCCAGCATGTTTCAAACCCATCCGTTTTCTTCTTGTGAGCTTTCTTCACTGTCCAGCTTTTACATTCATAGAATGTGATTTGGAATACAACAGTTTGGGTGATCTTGACCTTGGTCTCCAGTCATTCTTCCTTACACTCGACGAGCCTTCCTTCAGTGCCGGCCTTCCCAGTCTCCTTCTTCACATTCCTTGGCTGCTGTCTCCCTTTGACTAGATGACTGAACTGAGGGACGTGAACTCTTCCACAATTTCACTTTCTTCATTACTAACAGTTTTTGAGGGCCCTGTTGAAGGCATCCTCTGTGGGTCCCTTCCTTCAAGGTGTCTACTTCTCAGCATCACCTATATGAGCTGCTCAGCTTCTCATCGTGGTCCCCCTTGCTTGCTTGCCAGCTAGACAGCCAGGAACAAAAGAGATGGTGGCATCTCCTGTTCTTCTTTCTCACCACCCCTGTTGTCCAGGCCAGAGCGAGAGGCATGTAAACAAGGAGGTATGGTGAGGAGACGGAGCAGGTTGAGAGGGCTTGGTTTGGAGGGCCCTGCTGTTGCCCTGCCTTTGACAGCATCACTGTTTGGGTTTGCCCAAGTTTCTCAGGAAGCCTCAAGAACTGAATTTACATGTGTGCCCATTGTGCATCACCTGCTCCTAGCTGCTATCGCTAATCAAGCTCTGGGCCTTGAGACCCTTGAATAAAGCTGATGCAGCTGCAGTCCTCACACTAAATTAGTTCTGCAAAAATTCTGGCACAATGATAGAAGTTTTCCAGCTTCGTAATCGTTCATTAACGTGGCCACACATGAGCAATCCCAGCAATTGCAATCTGGGAGAGAAAATCAGCTCAGTTGAAAGCACCATTTCTTCATGCAGCTTATCTTTTCCTGCTACTGATGGTGTGTGAGTGACAGGAAGAAGGGACAGAGAGATTCCAAAACAGATCAAATGGAGAATAGTGCTAGATGACCTGAAATGAAGGAGCGGGGCAAGACCCTACTACTTGGCCATTGTAACTTCAGGAGAACTTTCAGCAGCTGGATGCTGTGTTCATAAACCTATTGCATTCATCATCTGGAACAGTTCTGCTGAACCTGGGTTGGATGACAACACCATCAGCCCCAGCAAGCATGGCTAATAGTTTGCAACTGCCAGCAAAGAGGGGTGGGTAGGGTGTCCTTTGTCCATCTGGGGAAGCTCTTCCAAAAGCATCTTGCTACAGATATATAACTCCTATGCTGGAAGATCCCTGTGCTCCACCAATTGGTGACTGAACCATGTTCCAAGTGTTGCTGCTGGTGTATGAGCCCTGGGACCTAAAGGATGCTGCTTTTTCACACAAAGGCCACCCTAAGAGCATAAGAACATCTGACCAAGGGTCCATCTGGTCCAGCATTCTGTTCACACAGATCTTCCTTCTGTCTGTCCTGAATCTGTCAGCTTCATGGGAAAGCTCCATCATCATCATCATTTCTTTACCACCCATAGCCAAAGCTGTCTGAGAGGTTCGCAACATTTGAGTCACCCATCCAGAGTTTAACCAGACCTGACTCTGCTTAGCTTCCACGATGAGGCAGGATCAGGCACTTCAGGCTATACAGAAGCTCCGTGGGTTTCTGGTATTATGAAAGAGATTGAAATGCCTCTGAAAAGGTTTAGCTACTGGTAATAATGGTTTAAGCTCTTATATGCTGGCATTTTAGACATTTTTGGTATTTTGGCTGTGCTCCTTTTGCCTTCTGCTTCACCCAGCCCTGGAATGCAGCCATCAAGAGCTGCTCCAAAATGGAATTTTGCCCCGAGGTTGTAAGAGAGTCGACAAACCTGTGCCCCCGCATATAATCCCAATCATCCCTGCTGATCAGAGTCACTCCTCATTTCCTAATGGCAGTTCCTGGCAAAAATGGCATCCCATTTTTGCTGCCCTTTTGGGGAAAAAGATGTTTCATTTTTAGAACAGCTGCAGTGATCAATAGAAAATTTTTCCTGTTTTATCCAAAGGATGCGATTGGAGCATGCCAAAGTACATTTCATTGACTTGCTTCTCAGTCAGTGGGAGGAAGGAAAATGTCTGAGAAGTGCCAATGACAAAGAAGAAAGCCTCAGAAATCCATTTGTTTCCAGAATGAACTGATATACATCAGGCCTGGGCCCCAGAATCAACTTCAGTGCTAGAGCTAATCCCTAGAAGGCACACAAAATCATGCAATGTTTCTACTCATGCAAAGTATGTTCTATTCTCCATAGGGGATTAAGGAAAAGATTCCTGTGAAGAAGAGGGGCTTGATTGGCTGAAGAAGCTGAGCTACAGCCTCTCTTGATTTGGTTGTTATTAGAAAAATGTGCATTACTATTCTTAACATGTATTTCACTAAAACAAACAAAGTCATACACAAGAAATGAAAATGCAATTTTCTTATAGTCAATAAATCACTTACAATAGCTGAGATGAAATTTATGTCCATAAGTATATGTAAATGTGTGATCACACACTTATCAATACAAAGCTTTGTGCACCAACTTAGGAAAATGCAATATCCATATCATTACCCACCCACATAAGGCAAATAAATGCCACCTGTTCAAATATTGCAAGTGTAATGTGATTTTCAATCCATTTTGTTAGAAGAGGTGGGCATTGTTCTTTCCAGTGTTGTAATAGTATTCTTTTAGCTATTGAAATGGTGTGGAAAATCCACTTACATTGTCCTTGTTCTAATGTTTAAAACCATGGATGCTTCAGTAAATATTACAGATAATTTTAATAGAAAGTTTGTCCATATTATAATCTCCACCCAAAAGAAGCAACCACTGGGCATTGGCAAAGGATGCAAAGCATTAATGGTATTTCACCTCCAACAGTTAGCCTACTTAGATGAACTTGTTAAAATCACATGGTGATGTCCAATAGACACAAAACAAGTGTTTTTGCTAAATAAACATACTCTAAGTTCCAAAGACCCTTCTAACAGAGATGTGAAAAGAATCCATTGTTTATGCAAAATAAGACCATCTCATTCCCAGATTCATTTACATTGTTGTTAGAAATGTAGCCCAGTCTGCTGGACTAGGATATTGATTTGCTTGGGTGTTCCTGGCAGCTCGTCCGTTACAGCTCCGAAGGACTCCTGCAACTGGGCCCCCTGGGATCCACAGCATTCCTGCCGGACTCGAAATGCCTCATTGATGATGGAAAAGGAAGGACCCCGACTTTGAAGAAATGTGAAGACACGTTGAGGCCAGCTCAGAGACTATGGGACTTCACCCAGGTAGGGTGGGCAGGTGGAAAATGAGTCTATGGATGGGTCTTACGTGACACCAGGTAAAAGGCACTGGAGTAATAGTTGTTCGTTTATCTATTGCATTTCGATACTGGACAATAGCCAGTGCTCTCTGGGTGGTTCACAATATTTTTAACTGCTGGTCCAAACATTCAGACTCATTTGTTTATTTCTTTATTCACCTGTATTTATAGGCCGCCTATAATGGCCGAGGCCTTCCTAGGCAGCTTACAATGCATAAAACATACTAACAGAGCAAAAACACAGTAAAAACCAATTAAAACATAATGAATTAAACATCTATGAAAACAATTTAAAAGGGCCACAGTATACCAGCCAAACGTTAAAAAAATTCCTAAACAGATATGTTTTCGCCTGGTGCCGAAAGGAAAATAGAGATGGCGCCGGGTGAATTTCCCTAATGATAATCCATATCAACAAAAGCTGTGCTAGCAGTGGCCAAATGTACTGCATACAAAATTCCCAACATTGCCATAGGCAGCAAAACGTTGCTGCTGGAAATTCACCCCCCCTCTTCTTCCCCACCATACTATTGTGAAGAGAGAATGGGGAATGTGGAAGCAGGTGGCAGACAATGGCAGAGAAATCCCCAGTGGATTCAAATAAGTTAGGGGGCAGACTTTACCCAAGTCACATGGATTCTGCAGACTTGCAGACTAGTGGGAGGGGATTTGCACAAATGCACATTCATGCCAGTGCGCAGTTGCACTAATGTGCAAATGTGCAGTTGCAGCCAGAAATAAAATTCTTCCATATCCCTTGAAAAAGATTCTGTCAATGAGCAGGTAGAAGGAAAGGTGGATTTAACAAAATTGGTACTTCCCTAGGAGCAGATAATGTGATCATCTCCTAAATGTGTGAACCCGGGCTGAAAACACGGAAAGGTGGCTAGATCCGATCATCTCATACAACTCAGAATGCTACAGGGATCGGCTGCCCTATTCATAAACTAGCGGCCATGTTGGCCCTGGCTGGGCACAAAACATTCTTTCCCCAGAAGGCAACCTGCTGATACTGAAAGCAAAGTTACCTGCCCAGGAACCTCAGAGCAAGGCAAGAGGGGAAGTTGGGATTCCGAGTTCATGAACAAAATGAGAACTCACTCTCTTGAATCCAAATAAAGGTAGCACCTGATGGCAGATCATGACCTGGTAGGATGCCTTCCTCCAGAATGAAAATATTCTTTTTAAAAATATTAAGAAATAAATTAAAAAATCAGGAGGGGTAGGTAGTCTAGCAGGGCTACAAGAAAATCCCTGAGGCCATGGGCAATGGGTTGAAAGGTACAGCTGTAACGTAGTGATACTTACGTGTGTTGTGTTTTTCCAAAATTGCTTGCTTTGCCATTTTAACCTATGTCTGCTGCCTAGAAGATTTCAGTTTCTTCGTCTTCACTTCCCCACAGAATGGTCCAATCATCAGCCGAGACACTGGCCGGTGCCTAGAGGTAGAAATGTCAAAGGATGCCAATTTTGGTCTCCGATTAGTTGTCCAAAGATGCTCAGGGCAAAAATGGATGATCAGAAACTGGATAAAACATGGTCGACATTGACTTTGGCTTGGGAAGAAGATGCGCTTTCTTCTGGAGTCCTTCAACCACAGGATGTAGGTGTCCTTCCAAGAGAACTGGCTGAAAGAGGACTTCTGTGCTGAGAAGACAGATAATGGAAGGAGAAGATGACCAGAGCTGAGAAGGAATGGGTTTGATTGTTGTGTTTTACGCAAGGATGGAGACTGGCTTCCCATATAAGGCCAAGGAGGTAAATACACTGTGTTGAGGATGTGCCATTTCAGACTGCAGGCAAGGGCTCACATGACCAAATGTTTCTTTTAGCCCCTGTATATATAGCATGTCAGAGACGGTGCCAGAGGGTCTGTGATGTGCTAACTTTCTGGATGGGCTGGGTGAGGAGCGTTCAATAGTGCAATATCCACCCTGCTGTCTGAAACGGTGCATTCCCGGCACAGAATTTGTCCCCTCGGTGAATTCTAGGCCTAATCCATCCTCATATCATTGAGTGACCTTGGAAAGACTTGTCTAAGTTACTTTGGAAACTCTTTGGGACAACTGCAAAAAAATAAGCAGACTATCAAGCCAGCCGTTGCTTCCATTCTCCCAACGGGAGGGCAGCCATACTGGAGATGTGTTTGCAAGACAGATCGGTCCCTTGCCTCATTGAAGAGAAAGTCCTTTGCCAGAAGGAATTGTTAGCTTTAAGTTGCTGACCAATGCACAGCTCCAATGGTGAACAGAACCATGTGCCTTTTCTACTATACTTCCTATCCAAGTGGACTGGGAAATCCCATCATTCAGCATGTCTGATTAACTCTTCTCAGCAACAACAAGAACAACAACAAATGCATACTCTGTAAATAAGTTACTCTGCAAAAAAGCAAGCAAACAAACAAAAACATACCCACATCTAATATATCACATGATTCTAGATTGTTTGCCTGGGAGGCTCCATTTATGAGAAGGGCAACGTTATTCATGGCTACTGAAAATGAGGATGGAGACTTTGCTGTGATGCTGTCGATCCAGATGTGTCTTTCATCTCTTGGGGCAAATTCAGAAGGGAAAGCAGATGGTTCTGTAGGTCGGTGATGGAAGCCAGTTGGACATGGCTGCACTGGGTTAGAGCTCCTTACACCCTCTGCCAATCCACAGAACAAAGCTGTGCATTTAAAACATTGCCCATTTGGGGTAACAATTAAGGGAAAGGGCAAATCTGGTGCCACCATGTGGTGTATGCTGAACCCAGGCACCTTGATGGGACCACCCTTGATATTTACCTGAGAGATCAATTCCCCCCTTTTTTATTTTACTGATTTCTGGCAATCTGGCACTGGGCTTAAGGATCCCTTTTAGTATTTTCCCCCAATGCCATGATCAATAAGACATTCCAGGATATTGTGAAAGGAGAAAGAGGACCACCTCCATTTTTTCCATGGGGTTGGTTCTCTTTCTGGTGGCTCTCAGAGTGTTCCAGGTGACTTGACTTCCAGGGTATGAGGAGGGAAAAATTCAATCTGGCGGCTAAAAATTAAAAGCTGTTGTTGTTATTAGGGATTCAAGGTAGCAGGCAATGGTGAGGGGTGAATTCATTGGGACCCCACGAGACTGAACTTTGCTGTGGAGCCTTCAACATTGGAATGAGCCCTAGAAAAAGATGAAAGGGTAAGAAGTTGGCTGTAGCATTTTTAACAATTCAAAATAAAAATGGGCCATCCACCTGCAAGTTGTGGTGGAGGCCACACTGACAGTTGAACCAGATTCAATGTGTGGGCTTGTACTTCTGTCATTCAGATCACAAAGCCAAAAGGGATCCATGCTCACATCTCTGCCAGAAAGCCTTCCTGAGTCCTCGTTTTATGCTGCAATGGTACGTGTCCTTTGTTTAATGCCAGTCGTGCGCTAGGCAACATGCAGTGGACCAAAAGACGTGCCGCCTTGATCCTAAACACACTTGCTTGAAATGTCTGAAATCAGCAGGATTTCACTTCCGAATGTTTTCTGTTCTTGTGTTTGCTTGGGTGGGGTGGGGCAGGCCAGAGAAAGGAAACACGGAGTCCGCCGGCTGTGTTGCCCGTTGAAAACTCTTGAACAACTGTTGGATGGTTGCTTAAGGCAGTCAGACTCCGCACAGGAGTCAGCAATTCAACATGGCTTTATACAACTCCCTGGCAAGTTTCTGAACACAGGCCTGCAGCAAGTTTTTCCTAAACCAAGGGGAGAGGAGGTGATGGAAGTCTGCAAGTTGGCTTCATTTAATTTCGGTTATTACATTTTTATACAGTCCGATTGGCAAAGATCGCTAGGTGGTTTGCAAGATTAAATCTGGGAAACATATTTGAAAAACTATTTCCATAAAAATATATAAACAGAGAGCACACAGATACCGTCCTATATCCAAACCCTTTTAAACAGGCAAGACCTGATTAACAGCTCCTCATATGCTGCCCAGTGCTTGAGAGAAGCAGGAGGTCTTAAACTGGCAGCAAAAGAATTACAATGTTGGTGCCAGGTGGGCTTCACCAGGGATGCCCTTCCAAAATTGGGACACACCACGAAGACAGTCCTTTCCTTGTTCCCATCCTCCAAGCTTTTCTCAAAAGCGTTTGCACTGAAGGGACAGTGTGCAATTAACGTACTATGCCTAGAGACAAGGTAAAAGATGGTTTGTGCAGAAGACTGTCAGCAATCTCAACAAATTTGTCCTGATCTGAATCAGAAGTTGTGACTTGGGCCAGCATCCTTGTTTCGGGTGTGTTGAGTTCAGAACGGAACAAACAAAACCTTTTTGGTGGGGCAAACCTGCTTTCACCTTGGGTACTGCCCTGATAAAATTGTTCTTTCTCTTACTTCCTCTGTTGCTGTGCCTTTGGTGGTAGGCAGCATTCAGAAAGCAAGTGGTGGAAGTCTTCCCCATCACTTCAACGCCACATCACAAAAAGCTTTACCTGTCGCTTTCTGACTGTCAGCTCATATTTTGCTTAAAGGCATGGGAACAGGCTTAATTTAAAAAAGCAAATCAACAATGAACATGATTTGTTTATTGTGTTAGTTCATCTTTCATCCAAAGAGAGGAGTCCAGCATATTGCTGCTTCCACCCAACTTCTCCATGTTAACTTCACAACTGCCCTGAGAGAGAGGTCAGCCTGGGGAAAAAGAAGTGACTAGCTCTGAGTTACCTAGAGAACTTCATGACTGAGTGGGGATTCGAACAAAAGTCTGTTCTGTCATTGGGCAAATACGCCATCAGGGGGTGCAAGTCAAGAGTGCTCAGGAGGGCATAGGTAGCTTCAGGCAACACTTTGAGAAGCATCAGCTGTGAAATGATGTTGGAACCTGCATGTATTAGGTGGCCCAGAGACGGGGAACTATAGCCTGAGTAAAGCGGTGCAGAGTTGACTGCGTTTCAAACAACACCCAAAGGCTGAATTTGAGTTGTCACTGAACCATGAGTGGCTGTTGAACCAGGGTCTACCACAGTTTACAGCCCAACAACAAATCTTGACTTCTCTTTATGGGCTATCCATGGTTAGCAAGGCTCCCAAGTGGCAAACCTGGAAAGCACTTACCAGCATCCATTCCTTAATATAGGAGATCATGGATGCTGGAATGTTCCACACCAGCCCTTCCTGTCTGGGGTCTCTTTCTCCCTTGCTAGGATAAAAGTTTGACTCCAACGTTATCCAGGAATCATAAACATGCTGTAACTTCCTCCAAGTACAAGCTGTTTGTGCAAGCTCAGTGAGGAAGAGAAAGTGCTTAAAGATTACAGGTAATGACTTCCAGAGAAGAGTGACCTTGACACGACTCATGTTCTAAAAGTAATGGAATTTCCCCTTTTATTTCCAACCCATCTGCTTCTCCCTATGCTCATCTTTCCAAGGCGGAGTGGAAAGCATCTCTGTTTTGACTGCCACCAAGAAAATAACTTTCACTGTTACTTGACTCAAGCCATTTCCAGTGATCTTGAGACAGGAAATGGCCAATGTCCACCTAAGGGCTGAGCTCCTGCTGAGCTCCCAAAGTTTCTTCGCAGAGAAGAGTTTCATTTGATAATGCTCAAATAGATTTCTGCTCTGACCGGTAAGCTCTTCTCATCCTTCCGTAATGCAGTCACAAAGCCATCTGATTTCTTCGAAAACCCATTTTGGTTTGGTGACAGCCTCTGCAATCAGATGAACCAGAGCCAAATAGCTTCAGCCCAGTGCCAAGAAACAGTGAGGTCAGGAATTAATTAGCCAGACACAAGCATAGATCCTAAAGCGAGGCATGTGCCTCCCTCTGGAAAAGATGGACCCCGGGAGTTTCCCTGGACTTATTAAGGTCCCATCTAATGTTTATGACAAAGGAGCTTTCAATTAGATTTCCAGCTGAGTGTAGAGAACTGAAGCATCCATTCTCTAGACAATCGGTGGATAATAAACACACAAACAAAGACAAGTATTGGTTTTATTTTCTCTAGAGGCACAATGCAAGGATGCGTGCTACCATTCTGTAAATACTTAACATTAAGGATGACTACTTGGTCTATTTCCAGCTGAAGAAATACTTGGTCTATTTCCAGCCTATTTCAAAGGATGCAATCACTCTGTCCAATTTCTGCGCCACTGCGCCCATTCAATACACATGCACGAATATACAAATATTCACAGTTATCTCTGTATGCAGTTGCCCTACCTTGTGCATTGTGTCTGGTAAGCACCTCTTAGATGTCTTTATATGCCAGCATCTGAGTTCGGTGCAAAGCTTCCCTATAATAGACATTTTTGCATGCCATTTCTGAAACAAGAGCCAGATCACAAAATTCAGAGAAGCTCACAGTCTAAAGGAGAACTTTGCTTTAATCCATGCATTTGTCCGGAAAGTGCCAAGCAAGCTGCTTTTGCCTAGAAATGCAGAGGGGAGGAAAGCTGCCTCCATCCCTACTTGACTTTGAGAAGGCTGCTTCAAATATTTGCATGATCTCGCCTGGATTGACTCAATGTCCACCTGGGTTGCCACTCGCCCACTCAGTCCCTGGGAAAACCTTCTTTGGAAGGTGGCTTTGGGCCCCCAGAGCCATCCTGTGCACGCTGCAACAGATCAGTGGCTTTCCTGGGGTGGCATTCATGTTCCATGGTTTGGACAGGGAGAAAAGAGGTGGATTGCATCTTTATCCACTAACTAGCTGGCTGGAGCAGGGGTTGGTCAGAACCCAACCAGGGGAGTAGGGAAAAAATCCCCAGGGAATAAAAGTTCCCAGTCTCACATCACAACACACATTTGAAGCTATCCATTTTTTCTAGGTGGACCTGGAGAGTGGGGCAGAGGCTGCTATTTGAGAAAATAAATATGCATGTCCCCTTTTACTGAGAAAATAAATATCTTCAGCTAGTTCTGTGGATCCTGGCTGTGGTCCCTACAGGTCATAGATCATGAAAAGGAGCTTAGAGAGCATGGGGCAGAACACCCTGCACAATGCGGAATAGAACAGCAGCATCCCTGACAAGCAGCCATCTCAATATCTGCACCAATGGAGAGACCAAGGCAGCCTGAAGGAGCTCTTAAGAAGTTCCACCTAATATTCAGCTGAATGCAGGTCTGGTACCCTGCATTGTCCAGCTATCGACTCCCAACCTGCCCTCTGCAGGAACTGAGAATAGATCTCCTCCTCCTCCTTGGTGGAGTGCCAAACTAACAAAAAAGCTAAGGGACGCCAAGTCTCACACCTTTCTCGCTGACTCAGCTTTTCTTTTGGGAACCTGCTCCTCTTGGTTTTCACTGCATTAAGAAAATACTCCTCTCTGTATCAACTATCTGTGGTCGGTTCTCATTAATGGATGCTTTCCATCTGCAAATGTCAGAGGTTAGAGCTCAACTGGCCATACTTGTGTGTCCAGTCGAAATTTATTCCGACTGTGCTCACCTCTGGCCCACCAGCAAGTCAATGGATTGTGGGAGAGAAACCATCAAAGATTACGTCTTTGGTCTTTAGTATTTTAATTAAGGGTCCAGAAAGGTGAGTAGCTGGGAAGGAATCACTGAATAAAATAATATAATCTCAAAATACATATGTGACCTCAGATCCAGGGCTCTGCTTATGTATTAATAATACTTTCTGGTTGGAGATAACATTCTGAATGCCATGTAGCTTCTGAATATTGATTTGTTTGCTTTGGAAATTGCTTTCCTCCTCAGAGAGCATTGTTCAAAAGATTCAGTCATGACTGGAATGGCCAAAGACACATTCTGATTAAATTAACCAATGCTAAATTAATTTCTTCCCCTGGACTGAAATTTACTTTTTCCAGGCAACTTATTTTCTGCACAGGAAGTTAAGAGATGGCGCCTGAAATCCAGGCCATGGTTAATGTAGTGTGCTTCTGAACTGTGAGGGACCAGCATGTGGAATCACGCAAAGACAACTGAACTGCACTCAGGATTGTGGCAGCGGTTGCTGGCCATTTAAGTGTCTTCTGGATTTCACCTGGGATGCTCTCCATGGTGCTGAACAGGTATGGGGATAGAGTTCTGCAGCAGGTTCAGAGTGAGATCTGAAGCAAATAAGTAGCCCCACTGATTCTGCAGCACTGCCCCCAATCCACACTTCCCATGTTCCAGGCTAAGGTCCACTTGCTGGAATATCATGCAACAGTCCAAGGAAGGATGGAGTAACAGAGAGAACCATCCATACGTCACTGTGGAAAAGAGTATTGAAATATGATTGTCAGTAAGGACATAAAGGAATAGCTTGCTGGAGCATCTAAGGAGGGAGGAGAAG